CGCCAGGCTGGAGTGCAGTGGTGCAATCTCAGTTCACTGCAACCGCCACCTCCCGGGTTCAAGTGATTCTCCTGCCTCAGCCTCCCAAGTAGCTAGGACTACGGGTGCCTGCCACCATGCCCGGCTAGTTTTTCATATTTTTAGTAGAGACGGGGTTTCACCATGTTGGCCAGGATGGTCTTGATCTCTTGACCTCGTGATCTACCTGCCTCAGCCTCCCAAAGTACTGGGATTACAGGCGTGAGCCACCGCCCCCAGCCCAGGCCTCTCACTCTTAAATGTACTTTTCCCTCTCATCCATCACTCTTTCCCCACTACCCCATCAAAGCAACAATAACAGAGAATCAGAAATTTTGCCGCTGACTTTCAACCTTAGTGGACTTACTTTCCCCCTGAAATTCATTGAACAAATGAGAACTGAAGAGAGGTCAAAAAATCTTCCCTGTGTGAACAAGCTGCCCAGCTTCCCAAAGAACCTCACAAAAATTCTCTGTCCTTACCTTTCCCTTCCGGAGGCGTCGCACTGTATCACTTGGGCTCCAGTCATTGCTGTAATCCTGGAATATTAGCAATACGTGAATCCCAGGAAGTTAAGGAATCAAAGTTATCAGTGTACCAACTCCTCAACTCAAACTCAGTCTTCGTGTCTAAGAGGGAAATACTTTGTGGGAGGGAATGGATGTGAAAAAAAATGAAGAAACGGGACAGTTTTGTTCTGAGTTTCTGAAGGAACTAGAGCAGGGGCAATATAGGTAGCAGGAGATGGATCAAAGAGGGAGGAGCCAATTGACAAAGCCAGTGGCCCATGCCTACTGGTTCAGGACTGCAACCTCTAGATGCAATTAGAATCACGTTTTAGGATTCTAACAATTAATGCCTTTGGCCAACAGAAGGAAAGAGAGAGACGTTGGAGACATGTTCCTTTTCTGACCTTAGGATATATGGTTTCTTCCTTATGAATCCATTTGCTTTTTTATTTGCTTCATGGGAATATGAGCTCTACCAAGCTTCCAGACTGCAGTGATGATCACTGGGTTTCAAAGTACAGCCTTCAAGTGGGAGCATAATGAGTAAGCAAAGTATGGCAGGGCTGAGTCAGAATATGGAGATTGTAAGTCTAAGTTGCACCCTTTCCTAGCTGTGAGACCCCAGGTAAGCCCTAATGTTTAGAAACCCAGTTTTCTTATCTATAAAAGAGGGTTAAAAAAATTTCTGCTCAAATAGTTGGGAAAATCAAGCAAGGTAACATATGTCAAGGTACTTTATACTGTGGAAACTATCAAACCAGTGTATGCTGTAACTCACCCTATACTCCCCTTTGGGTCTCCCCAGCTCTGGAGCATAGCTTTTGGCAGGTGTGTCTGACAGAGCTGAAAAAGAAGCAGCTGGTTCAGAAGGGCACCATGAATCCTGCTTGTCGTTCCTTCTCACATTTTTTTTGACTTCTGGGCTCCCAATGTTAACTTTGTGGCCAAAAGCAGATCTCCGTTCTTCCCCAAAGACAGCATCCCTAGAAGTCACCTTTGCCCCTGTAGCCAGAATGATTTCTACCTCCTTAGTCAGTATCAGAAAGTTCCTCTAATAATGACAGTAGATGCAGAAGAAAGTTCATCTTGTCATCTAATTACTACCTGTCCCCATAACTCCCCAGACTGTACCAGATCAGTAATATTTCCCACAGCAATTAAAAGAGGGTTCATGCCTACCATCAGAAAGGGACTGGAAACTTCCAGGTCTAGTTCTACCTAAAGGTAAAGAACACAAGAGGGAAAAGGTCAACAGTTTAAGTCAGAGCCATCCAGACTTGGTTAAAGACACAATGTATACAGAGCTCTATAATGCAATATAGGAACTTAAGCCGTAAAAAACGTTTCATTCATCTGTAGAAATCTGAAGTGCCATTAAAAAATGGAGCAGGGAGAAAAATTTTTTTTAATTATGGTAAAATGCACGTAACAAAATTTACCATTTTAACCATTTTTAAGTGTATAAGTCAGTAGCATTAAGTACATTCACGCTGTTGTACAACCATCACCACTATCCATCTCCAGAACTTTTTCATCATCCCAAACTGAGACTCTCTACCTTTAACCAACTCTATACCCTTTAAACAATAACTCTCCTTTCCCTCCGCCCCAGCTCTTGGTAACCACCATTCTACTTTCTGTCTCGAGGAATCTGGCTATTCTAGGTCATACATAAATGGAGTCATATAATATTTGTCCCTTAGTGCCTTCTTTATTTTATTTAGCATCATGTCCTCAAGGATCATCTATGTTGTAGCATGTATCGGAATGTCATTCTTCTTTAATGCTGAGTAACATTCCACTGCATGTATATGGCACATTTTGTTTATCCATTCATCCATCAATGGACATTTGGGTTGTTTCCATCTTTTGACTATTGTGAATAATGCTTCTATCAACATGGAGGTACAAATACCTATTCAAGTCCCTGCTTTCCATTCTTTTTGATATATACCTAGAAGTAAAATTGCTAGATCATATGTTATTTATTTATTTATTGAGATGGAGTTTTGCTCTGTCACCCAGGCTAGACTGCAGTCGTGCAATCTCGATTCACTACAACCTTTGCCTCCCAGGTTCTAGCAATCTGCCTCCCTCAGCCTCCTGAGCAGCTGGGATTACAGATGCCCCCTCACCACGCCCGGCTCATTTTTGTATTTTTAGTAGAAACGGGGTTTCACCATATTGGTAGGCTGGTCTAGAACTCCTGACCTCAGGTGATCCACCCATCTCGGTCTCCCAAAAGTGCTGGGATTACAGGTGTAAGCCACCATGCCTGGCCAGTTATATGTTAATTCTATGTTTAATTTTTTTTAAAAAAACCGCCATACTGTCTTCCACGGTGGCTGCACCATTTGGCATTCCTACCAACAAGGTTTTCTAATAGCAATGCGCAAGGAGTAGGGAGGAATTTTGATCCAGGCAAATTTCTTCAGTACCAGTCACACGGTTAATGTCAATTTCATTCATTGTGTTCTAGAAAACCAGTCCAACCCCTCTGCATTTCTCTCATTTCTCCTGCTCCTGACACCCAGCTGCCAGCTCCAATGAGAATGCTTTATCCTTCAATAATCTTTTTCTTACAAAGTAGATGAAAATTATGGCCTAAGATTTTTCTGAAAAAAGAGAAGGAGGACTTCCCTGTCTCTTTAAGCACATCTCCTTACCTCTAAAAAAGCTGCTTAGGGAGTAGGTAGAAGTAGGCTTGGGTAGTTGTGCATAGGAGGAGAAGCTGTTTCGGCTCTTTAGCTGTTCACGCCCCTCATGGCTGGAGCTACTATTACCAGCAGTCTCTTTGATGGACCATGAGATACCTGTGAGATAGTAAGAACTACATCAGCAATTCTCATCCACAATAAATCCTTGACATCCAACATTCAACAAACTCTAAAAGCTTTTCACCAGAAGCCCTGGTCCCTTGGCCAACTTGGGGCAAGGAGAAAAGATAGAATCAAATAGAATCATCAGCAGAAAAATGGACCAAGGACATGAATAAGTGGATCACAGAAAAGAAAATTCAAATGGCTCTTAAACATATGAAAAGATGCTCAACCTCACTCTTTTTTTTCCTTTTTCTTTTCTTTTTTTTTTTTTTTGAGACAGGGTCTCACTACGTTGCCAGATCTCTGGAGTACGGTGACTATTCACAATCATATCTCACAGTCATGTCTCACGTCAGCCTCAACTCCCGGCCTCAAGCAATTCATCACCACCACCTCCAGAGGCACACACCACCTGCCCCCAGCTTTGCTAAGAGTACTACAAATTAAAAATATAATGAGAAACCATTAGTCCCCTCTAAGATGGGGAAAGATCCAAAAGCTTGATAATACCCTGTGTTGGCCAGCCTATAGGGAAACTGGAACCCTCCTCCATTGCTGGTGGTAGTACGAATTGGTACAACTTCTGTGGAGGTCAATTTGGCAATATCTACCCAATACAGATGCAAACATCCTATGTGAGTAATTCCACTCTAAGAATTGTTCTTTCGTTTATTCATCTAGGGTCAGAATACAAAGTCACTGATAGAAATATAAAGAGCAAAAGACTGAAAAATCTAAAATTCAACAGTGGGCTGGCTAAATAAATGATGGTAAATCCATACAATACTATGCTGCTATTTAAAAAAAGAAAGAGAAAATGAGAACACCCTTTATATACTGACATAGAAAGATCTCCAAGCTATATTAACACATAAAAAGAGCAAGGTATGAAGTATGCTACTGCTTGCATAAAAAAGGGATAAGAATACATGTTTCTATATACATTTCCAAATGCAAAAAGAGTCTTTAGATGAATACACAGGAACCAAGCAATAACGACTGTTTTTTGGGAGGACAGGAACTGAAAACTGAGAAGATACATAACAATATGGAACGGAAACTTTTCACTGTATACCTTTAATTTTTAAAAATCTTTAGTCATGTTATAGTATGGCCTATTTTTTAAAAACTTTTAATTAAAAATATTTCTTAAAAATCAGATGTGGTAGGCCGGACACGGTGGCTCATGCCTGTAATCCCAGCACTCTGGGAGGCCAAGGCGGGTGGATCACAAGGTCAGCAGATGGAGACCATCCTGGCTAACATGGTGAAACTCCGTTTCTACTAAAAATACAAAAACTTAGCTGGGTGTAGTGGTGCGCGCCTGTAATCCCAGCTACTCG